TCTTCTGGAATGGCTGGTAATGTGCCTGCCGATCTGTCTAGACGATATAATTTCTTAATTTGGGTAAGATGGATTTTGAAAGGATTCGCATTAGGAACTGTACAACTAACAATTGTAGCATTTGGTTCACCGATGTCGATTACTCTAAAATACTCCTGTCCATAGTAATACGAATTTCTTAGTGTCGCCTGGTTTAATTATTTCATTGTCTCCTACACGAATCTGAGTCCATGTAACTTGTCTATCGTGAAGTTGTTTCATGCGCGCTTGGGCCTGCTGGGAATGCTCATGGGCTGTTGTCCACGCAAGTCTGAGAGAAGAGATGAGATTTGCTTTATATTCATCAGCGTCAATTTCGGACAAAGATGGTATATAGTTGAGTTTAATAATATTATCCACCGCGAATCGAGGATCTCGCCTGAATATGAGAAAATAAGGGCTTTCCCCAGTTGTCTCGTTTACTGATGTATTGTAACAAAAGCTCATAAACTGCAGAAATTCGTCAATATCAGAGTTCTGATATGAAATTATTTCGCTAACATATTTTGATACGTGCGGAATGTGCTTTCCACCGCACCGTTTCCAGCTGAGTGATGTGGAGTGCAATAACGTTGGCTTATATAGAGAAGGCTGCAAAATTCTTGAAAGAAGGATGATGAGAAAGTTGTAGCATTATCTGAGACTAGTTGCAGCGAACTGCCATATATCAGTACATAGTGTGTTGGTAGTGCATGCGCTACAGTTGTAGATCTAGCATGTGGTACTGGAACACTAATGACATATTTACTAAACATACGGATGATATTGAAAATGTACTTAATTCTTTGAGCAGTAATTTTAAAAGGTCCACATAAATCGAGCCCTACTTTGCTACATACCACCAGACTCATGAGAGGATAAAGAAGGAAGTGTGGATAAGGTTTAGGATTATTGCGCGTTTGGCAATTAAGGCAAGCTTTTGTCCAACGATAAAGATCTGCCTATTTGGTTCCCCAGTGATACTGTGCTGTTTCATGAAATACTTTACGAATGCTGAGGTGCCTTCCTGCTAATGGAGACATATGAAAGTAACCAAATATTAAAGTGCGTAGGTTACCAGGTATGACCGATGGGAGTCATATCTTGCATGAGGCCCTGTGGTCTAGTCTCCTTTGGGATGTCGCTGCCGGATCCATTGGAGACATCCTCTTCCATCGAGATAGTAACTGTCCAGGTTAGCCAACAGGAGTTCCGTTTCTTTTGGGTCTTGTAGTTCCGGTATGGCCTCGTTGTTGTAGAAGTCGATGATAGGTCTCAACTCAGGATCGTTATTTTGTTCTTGCGCCATATCGATGACCTGCCTTGTTTCGAATTGTCGCTTTGTCAACCGTGGTATATGCCGCTATTAACCTCGGGTAATTTGTTATTACACTTGCAAGACAACAAGGGATTCAATGATGTCCTCGATACTTGTATGGTTTAGTGGGGGAGGGACATCTTATTCCACTCGTGAGAGAGAGCATTCGCCACTCGGTTATGTTCTTCTTTTATCAACTCTATAGTGACATTATAATTTTGGAGTTCAGTGATACATCGGGCAGGATTGGGATGTGCTGCTGACTTTTTCAATACATAGGCTGGAGGTTTATGATCTGTGTGCACTATGCATTTAGACATAAAGATATAAGGTTTAAAAGTTCTTAAAGCATATACTATTGTTGCAAGCTCTGCTTGTATTACCGGCCAACGTCTGTCGCTCTCCGCGAAGATACGGCTTGTATATGAGATGGCGTAATATGCATCTTTAGATTTGTCATCTCGTTGCATTAGTGTTGCTGCTTGCGCTACTGTCGAGCAGTCCGTGAACATGTGGAAATCCTTATCATAAATAGGATGTCTAAGTATTGGTAGGGCACGTGAAAGTTTTTTTTTGAGGGGAAAGCGTTTTCGGAAACGGCCCATGCTAAGAGGCTGGAACTTCACAGAGATGTTCCTTGGCAGCGTCTAATCCAAAGATTTTAAATTAAGCCTTCGTGCACCTTCAGGTCTCACGTACGCACACCTCAAAGTTTAAACTGGCATCATGCCAACTCCAGATTTAAGCTGCCAGATAAACTTCAGAGAGTTGGAGTTTTGCAGCGTTACTCGTCGCCTATTGTTGTGCCCGTGTAAGTAAATTACTTGTCAGCTGTTCTGCATCTCACGTACGAACACGTGAAAAT